AAAATCTTCCAACAAACAAAAGCCCAGGACCAGATGGCTTCACAGGCAAATTCTATCAAACATTTAGAGAAGAGCTAACACCTATCCTATAGGCCAATATCACTGATGAACATAGATGCAAAAATCCTCAACAAAATACTAGCAAACAGAATCCAACAGCACATTAAAAGGATCATACACCATGATCAAGTGGGATTTATCCCAGGGACGCAAGGATTCTTCAATATACGCAAATCAATCAACGTGATACACCATATTAACAAATTGAAGGAGAAAAACCATATGATCATCTCAACAGATACAGAGAAAGCTTTCGACAAAATTCAACACCCATTTATGATAAAAACCCTGCAGAAAGTAGGCACAGAGGGAACTTTCCTCAACATAATAAAGGCCATATATGACAAACCCACAGGCAACATCATCCTCAACGGTGAAAAACTGAAAGCATTTCCGCTAAGATCAGGAACAAGACAAGGTTGCCCACTCTCACCACTCTTATTCAACATAGCTTTGGAAGTTTTAGCCACACCAATCAGAGAAGAAAAGGAAATAAAAGGAATCCAAATCGGAAAAGAAGAAGTAAAGCTGTCACTGTTTGCAGATGACATGATACTTACTATACATAGAGAATCCTAAAGATGCTACCAGAAAACTACTAGAGCTAATCAATGAATTTGGTAAAGTAGCAGCATACAAAATTAATGCACAGAAATCTCTGGCATTCCTATACACTAATGATGAAAAATCTGAAAGTGAAATCAAGAGAACACTCCCACTTACCATTGCAACAAAAAGAATAAAATATCTAGGAATAAACCTACCTAAGGAGACAAAAGACCTGCATGCAGCAGAGAATTATAAGACACTGATGAAACAAATTAAAGATGATACAAATAGATGGAGAGATATACCATGTTCTTGGATTGGAAGAATCAACATTGTGAAAATGACTCTACTACCCAAAGCAATCTACAGATTCAATGCAATCCCTATCAAACTACCACTGGCATTTTTCACAGAATTAGAACAAAAAATTTCACAATTTGTATGGAAACACAAAAGATCCCGAATAGCCAGAGCAATCTTGAGAACGAAAAACAGAGCTGGAGGAATCAGGCTCCCTGACTTCAGACTATACTACAAAGCTATAGTAATCAAGACAGTATGGTACTGGCACAAAAACAGAAAGATAGATCAATGGAACAGGATAGAAATCCCAGAGATAAACCCACGCACATATGGTCACCTTATCTTTGATAAAGCAGGCAGGAATGTACAGTGGAGAAAGGACAGCCTCTTCAATAAGTGGTGCTGGGAAAACTGGACAGGTACATGTAAAAGTATGACATTAGATCACTCCCTAGCACCATACACAAAAATAAGCTCAAAATGGATTAAAGACCTAAATGTAAGGCCAGAAACTATCAATCTCTTAGAGGAAAACATAGGCAGAACACTCTATGACATAAATCACAGCAAGATCCTTTTTGACCCACCTCCTAGAGAAATGGAAATAAAAACAGAAATAAACAAATGGGACCTAATGAAACTTAAAAGCTTTTGCACAGCAAAGGAAACCATAAACAAGACCAAAAGACAACCCTCAGAATGGGAGCAAATATTTGCAAATGAAGCAACTGACAAAGGATTAATCTCCAAAGTTTACAAGCAGCTCATGCAGCTCAATAACAAAAAAACAAAAAACCCAATCCAAACATGGGCAGAAGACCTAAACAGACATTTCTCCAAAGAACATATACAGACTGCCAACAAACACATGAAAGAATGCTCAACATCATTAATCATTAGAGAAATGCAAATCAAAACTACAATGAGATATCATCTCACACCAGTCAGAATGGCCATCAACAAAAAATCTAGAAACAATAAATGCTGGACAGGGTGTGGAGAAAAGGGAACACTCTTGCACTGCTGGTGGGAATGTGAATTGGTACAGCCACTATGGAGAACAGTATGGAGGTTCCTTAAAAAACTACTAATAGAACTACCATATGACCCAGCAATCCCACTACTGGGCATATACCCTGAGAAAACCAAAATTCAAAAAGAGTCATGTACCAAAAAGTTCATTGCAGCTCTATTTACAATAGCCCGGAGATGGAAACAACCTAAGTGTCCATTATCGGATGAATGGATAAAGAAGATGTGGCACATATATACAATGGACTATTACTCAGCCATAAAAAGAAACGAAATTGAGCTATTTGTAATGAGGTGGACAGACCTAGAGTCTGTCATACAGAGTGAAGTCAGAAAGAGAAAGACAAATACCGTATGCTAACACATATATATGGAATTTAAGAAAAAAAAATGTCATGAAGAACCTAGGGGTAAGACAGGAATAAAGACACAGACCTACTAGAGAACGGACTTGAGGATATGGGGAGAGGGAAGGGTGAGCTGTGACAAAGAGACAGAGAGGCATGGACATATATACACTACCAAACGTAAGGTAGGTAGCTAGTGGGAAGCAGCCGCATAGCACAGGGAGATCAGCTCGGTGCTTTGTGACTGCGTGGAGGGGTGAGATAGGGAGGGTGGGAGGGAGGGAGACGCAAGGAGGAAGAGATATGGGATCATATGTGTATGTATAACTGATTCAGTTTGTTATAATGCAGAAACTAACACAGCATTGTAAAGCAATTATACTCCAATAAAGATGTAAAAAAATTTAAAAAAATTTAAAAAAATCAAGGCAGTGTTAAGCAAAAAAGTTGGATAGTAATTTTTGAAAATTAAATTCTTGTTTTTATTCAGTTGTATTAATTAAGAACAAGCAGGGAGTAAATTGGTACAGCCACTATGGAGAACAGTATGGAGCTTCCTTAAAAAACTAAAAATAGAACTACCATATGACCCAGCAATCCCACTACTGGGCATGTACCCTGAGAAAACCATAATTCAAAAAGAGTCATGTACCACAACACTCATTGCAGCACTATTTATAGTAGCCAGGACATGGAAGCAACCTAAGTGTCCATCGACAGAGGAATAGAAGATGTGGCACATATATACAATCGAATATTACTCGGCCATAAAAAGAAATGAAATTGAGTTATTTGTAGTGAGATGGATGGACCTAGACACTGTCATACAGAGCGAAGTAGTCAGAAAGAGAAAAACAAATACCGTATGCTAACACATATATATGGAATCTAAAAAGAAAGGGTTGGGGGGGTTCTGAAGAACCTAGGGGCAGGACAGGACTAAAGACGCAGACATAGAGAATGGACTTGAGGACACGGGAAGGGGGAAGGGTAAGCTGGGACGAAGTGAGAGTGGCATGGACATATATACACTACCAAAGGTAAAACAGATAGCTAGGGGGAAGCAGCCGCATAGCACAGGGAGATCAGCTCAGTGCTTTGTGACCACCTAGAGGGGTGGGATAGGGAGGGTGGGAGGGAGACGCAAGAGGGAGGGGATACGGGGATGTATGTATACATACAGCTGATTCACTTTGTTATACAGCAGCAACTAACACAACATTATAAAGCAATTATACTCCAGTAACAATGTTAAAAAAAAAAAAAAGCAAGGAATATCATTAGAAAGATTACCAGACCTCTAACTTTAAAAGACTGTAATTTTCATGACAATACAATTATTTCCAATCATTCCAGATCCAACTTTAAATCATCAAAACTGAAAGCCCATGACAAGTACCTTATATACCACCCTCTGTCTCAAACCCACCATTTTACCTTTAACATATTATAACCTAAACCAAGTCCATAACCTGCCCATGCCACTTGGAGTGCTAGAAGAAGAGTCTTCACCCTTTGGTACAGAGGTGAGTGCTTTTCCTTCTGAACTTCCACACTCCCCTGCATATGCCTCAGTTATCAACAACACTTTGTATTATTTGTCTCTAGTCTGTCTTCTCTACTAAACAACAGGCTTCTGACAGGAACACATTCCATTCACGTTCATATTTCCAGTATCTAGCAAAATGCCTCGCATGTTGCAGAACTTGAAGCAAATGACTGAATGAATGGCAGAGAAGAGAATGAGTAAAGCATGCCTGTTTGTTAGCAGGGGGATAAGCCTAAGAACATATATTTCAGACCACTAAGATAATGAAAAGTACTGTGCAAATTCTCACCTAAAAAAGAAAGAACAGTAAATCTTCCTCTTTCTGACCATAAATAAATTGCTACTTAAATCTGTCTTGAGGCTTCACTGGAAAAGGCAGTTTATTTGTCGGTTATATATCTCATGGCTTCCTGGTACTGATCTTTTTTTTTTAAATTTATTTATTTATTTCTTATTATTTATTTTTGGCTGCGTTGGGTCTTTGTTGCTGCGCGCAGGCTTTCTCTAGTTGCGGCGAGCGAGCGGGGGATACTCGTTGCAGTAAACGGGCTTCTCATTGCAGTGGCTTCTCTTGCTGCAGAGCACAGGCTCTAGGCATGCGGGCTTCAGTAGTTGTGGCACGTGGGCTGAGTAGTTGTGCCGTGCAGGCTCTAGAGCACAGGCTTAGTAGTTGTGGCACACGGGCTTAGTTGCTCCGTGGCATGTGGGATCTTCCCAGACCAAGGCTCGAACCCATGTTCCCTGCACTGGCAGGCAGATTTTTAACCACTGCGCCACCAGGGGAGCCCCCTGGTACTGATCTTTTTTTAAAACAAAAAATTTATTTATTTTATTTATTTATTTTTGGCTGCGCTGGGTCTTCACTGCTGCATTTGGTCTTTCTCTAGTTGTGGCGAGCGGGGGCTACTCCTCACTGTGGTGCATGGGTTTCTCATTGCGGTGGCTTCTCTTGTTGTGGAGCACGGGCTCTAGGGTGCACAGGCTTCAGTAGTTGTGGCTCGCAGGGTTAGTTGCTTCACAGCATGTGGGATCTTCCCGGACCAGGGATCGAACCCGTGTCCTCTGCATTGGCAGGTGGATTCTTAACCATTGCACCACAAGGGAAGTACCCCTGGTACTGATCCTAATCCCACTCAGGCTTAACCCAGCCAATAACTTACTTGTAATACTGTTTCTGAAGGGCTGACATCTCCACCCTGAGAATCTGTTCCACTTTGGCAGGAAGGGATTTCTCCACATCTTTTTTCACTCTCCGGAGAAGGAAAGGCTCTAGCACCTTATGAAGACTCTGATAGCCATTCTCTCTCCCTTTCCCATGGTCTTCCTCAAAATCTTCCCAGAACTCAAACCTAGAGATGACATAGTATAGTGTTACTTAATTACAAAGAAGAAAAAAAACATTTTTCCAACTAAAATTTCTTTTTTAAGGAACCAAATAGGAAAAAAAATCTGTTAAAAAAAAAAAGAGTCTTCCCTATAAGGAAAAATAAATTTTATCAGTCACTAGCTCTTGAATACAAGAGAGGGGAAAACAAAAAGGCAAGGGAAAACCAACTCAATCAATTCCATCAGTCTACACTAGATAACAGCAGGTTTCCAATTCTGAGACTGGATCTAGAGTTCACAAAATATTTCAGTATATCATGCAAGTAGTATGTAAGTAACATAATAAGTTACTGTGATAAAATGTTAGGCAGAAAAATTAATCATAAGGTATCTTTTAATAAGCTGCAATTTACTGGGAAAACAAAATTCAGAGGTCAAAGAATAATTAGTGGTGATATTACAGCTATCACTGGTCAGAGGTACAAGTTATACAGCTTCCATCAGTAATCCTCACTGCTCATAGATTAAAAAGTTAATGGATTATAATGACAGTAAACAAGTGACAGCCCCCAGACAAGAAGAGCAATATAAGTGATACAACTTAATACTAATAGAACTTGGAGACACAAAATTTATTAATGAATTTTAAAATGTTATCACCCGTAATAATTTTGCCTGAACTCTACAGATAAAAGTTTCTCCTGTTTAAATCTTAATTTAACCATCTTTGGGTCACTAAAGGATTTGTGGCAGAAATCCAGTACGGGACATTATGATCAAATTTCTTTCAAAAATAAAAATTGAAAGAAATTTATTTCATGAGGCTTAGGAAAATATGCTCTGACTTGCTACTAGAAAGCCAGCAAAGCACTTGGAAGAAGTTGTTTAGTTTTGTGTGCAGACTGGAGCCCAGTGGGTGAGGTGCTGCCCCATGGTCTGCTTTCTGACACCAGGAGGCCCAGCTCTGCTGAGGCCAGTGAAGTCCCAGAATGATAAACTCAGTGACTCGACATTACCAAGAGCTATGTAATACGCTCTCTGATAAGACAGAAAGTCAAAGACAGCAAATGCCAACACTGTCACCGGGCTAAAGGATGTCAAAAGAGTCTGCTGCCATTGTCATTTCTGAACTCATGAATGGCCAAGCATTTCATCAGGCACTAGGGGCATCAGTATCAGCCCTAGTGACAGCTGGTAATGCCTGAAACAACCGTGTTCGGAGAAGCAGACAAAATGATCTTTTGGGGTAGAGATCTATAAACATAATTAATGCTTCTAGCTCAACAAAACTAAAGTAAACTGTATTTTGTCACACTGCTATGAAGACACTCTAGGAACATAAAATAAAATGAAGAGTTAAAACTGATAAGAGGATTAAAAGGAACAATGTAAACTAAGCTATGTTAATACCATCTCATACACAAAATGCATGAGGCAACTGGAAATGAGGGACCATCACTATATATCAGGCCATTTTCTGAAGAACTGGGAGATAATTTCAAGAGAATGTTTTAATTTATGTAACACATATTATAATTAATTAAAACTTTACTAGTCTAAAAACTTAAATAATGAACTTTTTTTTTTTTTTACAAGACTTACTTCCCCTACTGTTTTAGGGAGCAAATATTTTCACCCACCTAGTGTACTCTTACTACATTAAAGGAGTTAATATGAGATACTATTTCTTCATATACACATTGAATTATTTATGAACTACCTGTGGCTGCTTTCTGTCTATACAGCAGATGAGTAGCTGTGACAGAGACCATAATGCCTACAAGTTGAAAATGTTTACTACCAGGTTCTTTAAGAAAAAGTTTGCTGTTCCCTGCAATAGACAACCGTCAATTTATAACACCACATATATAAAAGGTATATGGTCATCGTGGTGAACTTATAATGATACCACACCACAGCCTAGAGAGTCATTATTTTAGTTATTTCCCTGTTAATCAACTTCTGTATTTAACATGTCTCTCACCAAAGTAGAAACAATTTTGATCATTTAAATTTTCCAGACCTTGGGATTTTAGAAAAATAGAAGCTCACTCTACTGAGGAATAGCAAAGAAAAAAATTAAATCAAAGCAGTGAGAATGTTATACTAGAAGTCATGAGATAAATATGTGAAAGGAAAAGTGCAAAAAAATTCACAGACTGGCCTAGACAGCAGAAGCAAAAGTAAAAAAAGATTTCAACACTAAGAGGTAAGATCTCTGAAAATTATCAAACTGAGTTATTTTGTAGGGTGGGCATGAAGTACATATGTGCACATGATTATCTTTATAAGCTGAACTCTTTGATGTAGTCATAGCTCTATCTTTAATACCAAGCTCCATGCTTTGCAAAATACTACATACAAAACAAAGTGGCTCACTGATATATACCTATAATAAGGGTACTAACAACATACAGTAAGGGTAGGCTCCTGGCCAGAGCCGCCATGCAGGAAAGGTGCTCAGACTGACTCTGCACAAAGGAAACAGCATTTTAGTTGGTTAAAAAGACGACTAACTTTTGGATGTTGAGAACAACGGCCTATCACAGTTGAGGAGGGGAGAGTCCAGAAGTTACCTGAGCAAACCTAATTCTCTTCTGTACAATAACAATTCTTCAGTGGATCATTTCCTTAAAAAGAACAAATGGTTGTATAGAGCCATAATGAACCTCAGAAACTACCACTAAGGGTGGGGAAGATACTTCACAGGATTTGTCATCCACACAGTAAGCTCAGGCAGAAATAAAGGAAAATCTCCACTCCTTAACTAATGGGTTTCCTTCTTATACACGCATCTTTGTGAAAAATAATGTTTTTTTAAAAATGTTTGAAAATAATAATGTTTTAAAAACAAAGTTTGCAAAGAGAAAAGCCTCTCTTACACACACACACAGTGCATCTCTAACCCCAATCCATCCTTCAATAAGTAATCCAACTGGCCATATGGAAAACTTTGGCAGACACTATCTGAAGGATCATCTCTAATGGAAAAAGTAATTCAAAGTTCCTCTCTTTCCAAAATGTAGCCCATGCTGGGTGGAATGCCACAGGTGCTTAACAGCAACAAAAAATGAATTATGGCCATTTAGGAGCCAAAATCCCTACCATCCACTTCAGTAGCCAAGTACAGAAGGGCAAATCTTAGCTAATCATTCATTGGAGGAAACTAGGCATCACATTTCTTTTTCTAAATATCAAGCACATATGTTCCCACAGTGCCTCAAGATCCCTACTATGTAGAATGCTTTTAGTTCATCTCAGTGGTGCTATGAAGGATGCACTATTTCTCTTAGAATTTGAAGTTTAAAGGACATTGGCCTCGGTCACAGAAGACCAGAAACTGAACTCAGTCCACCCACTTATTAACCGTGTGATATGAGACACATTTTCATCATCTCTCTACGATAGCATATTCTTATTACAATCTGAGGCTAAACGTATAGAGTGTATCAAAAATTAGATATGAGAAAACAATATAAAAACTATAAAGTAATATACATGAAAATTCTTATCCATTTCAGAAAACAAAGATTAATAACTAATAATCGATACCCCCACTGTCTCTAAACTTTTATACATTATCTATTTGTTTTACAGCACATATAACCTTTGAAAAGCACACTTTATAAAAACATGGGCTTCTGCTAATACATGATGGACAGGGTATTCATTACAGAATGGATACAATGTTCAAAAAGAGAAGGGGGCAACTGCCTCCCTCCTCAGAAAGGTGACTACTGTTGACTTAACAGAGCTCTATGGAAGGAACAGAGGATCCAGGTGAGCAGGAAACAGGACAGGCAAAAGATTAGCAGTGAGACGAGGTGGGGAGGGTGGAGGAGGACAGAATGAGCAATGTGGGAAGAACTGAGGAACCCGCTCACGTAGTGCTTCTCAACTGGTGGTAATTTTGCCCCTCTGGGGTACACTTGGCAATGCTGCAAGACATTTTTGGTTGTCCCAACTGAGTCATTTCTGGCATGTAGTGGGTAGTGGACAAGGATGCTGTCAAACATCATATAATGCAAAGGAGAGCCCCCACTGTAAAAAAGAATTATCCAGCCCAAAATGTCAATAGTGCTAAGGTTGAGAAACCCTGTTCTAACGGAAGGCATAGGGAGCAGGGGTGCAGAGGGGCCTCCTCTCTCAGAAGCATACTATAGTGAGGATACCTGCAAAAAAGGAAACAGTCTAGGCCTGTTCTACTAACAGCTATAGTGAGCGCATGCATAATCAGAGTAGTCAAGTTTCTCTGTCCATCTCCTGAAGAGTCTTAAACTACTCTTCAAAAATAAAGGTGAAGGGGGCTTCCCTGGTGGCGCAGTGGTTGAGAGTCTGCCTGCCGATGCAGGGGACGCGGGTTCGTGCCCTGGTCCGGGAAGATCCCACGTGCCGCGGAGCGGCTGGGCCCGTGAGCCATGGCCGCTGAGCCTGCGCGTCCGGAGCCTGTGCTCCGCAACGGGAGAGGCCACAACAGTGAGAGGCCCGCGTACCGCAAAAAAAAAAAAAGGTGAAGGGACTTCCCTGGTGGTACAGTGGTTAAGAATCCAGCTTCCAAGGCAGGGGACATGGGTTCGATCCCTGGTCCAGGAAGATCCCACATGCCTCAGAGCAACTAAGCCCATGTGCAACAACTACTGAGCCTGCGCTCTAGAGCCTGCAAGCCACAACTACTGAAGCTCGGATGCCCTAGGTTTACAACACAAGGAAGGAGGTGAAAATGGAACTATGATGCAGAAAAGTTCCTATATTTTACCAAAATTAAATCAGTATTAATTTTAAGAAAATTGTGATAAGATGTATACACTAAAAACCTTAGAGCAACCACTACAAAATAAAACTTAAAAAAATCAATTAACAGAAGAATCTAAATGGAAAACTAAAAACTACTTGTTGAAACAAAAGAAGGCGGTAAGAAAGAAACAAACAAAAAAGAAATATGACATACAGAGGGAAAAAGCAAAATAGCAGACATAAATCCAACCATATCAATAATTACATTAAATGTGAATGAACTAAATACTCCAACCAAAAGGCAGAGATTGTCTAACTAGAGAAAAAAGGAAGATCCAACTGTTAGCTGTCTATAAGAGACACATTTTAGATCCAAATAAACAGGTTCAAAGTAAAACAATGGAAAATAGTATTCCATGCAAACAGATACCAGAAGAGAGCTGAGGAGCTATAAGAAAATCAAAATAGACCTAAGGAACAGGAAATATTACTAAAGATAAAGAGGGACATTTTATAATGATAAAAAGGTCAATAAATCAGGAATATGTAACAAATACAAATGTGCACATACCTAACAACAGAACCCCCAAACTGACAGAACTGAAAGAAGTAGGTCATTCAACAACTGTAGTTAAATATTAAAATACTTCACTCTCAATTACTGATAGAACAACTAGACATGAAGTCAGCAAAGATACAGAAGGAAGACTATTAACCAAGTTGACTTAATGGACACTTATAGAATTCTAGCCAACAAAAGCAGAATAAACATTATTCTTTTCAAGTACACATGGAATATATTCTCCAAGACAGAAAACATACTAGAGCATGTAACAAGTAACAATTCATTTAAAGCATGTTCTCTAAGATAAAAGTAAACTACAGATCATTTGGGAAATAATTAAATATTTGGAAATTAAATAACATACTTCTCAAAAAAAAAAAAACCGCCATGCATGAGAGAAAAAGTCAAAAGAGATATTCAAAAATAGGTGAAACTGAATGAAAACAAAAACACAAGATATCAACATTTATGGGATGCAGCTCAAGTAGGACATGGGGGGAACCTACACTTTTAAGTACCTATATTGAGAAAAGGAAGAAAGAGACTTAAATCAATAATCTAAGCTTTCATCTTAAGAAAACAGAAAACAAGAAAATTAAATGAAACACAAAGGAAGGCAATAATAAAAATGAGAGTAGAAATAAATGAAATTCTAAAATAGAGAAAAAAACAAAATAACGTCCAAAGCCAGTTTCTTTGAAAACATCCCCAAAATTGTTAAAAGCTTTACCTAAAAAGACCAAGAGACGAGACACAAAATTGCCATAATCAAAAAATTATTTAGATCAGTATTGATCCTTCAAAAATTAAAAGGATTATGAAGAAATACTACAGCTTTATGCCAACAAATTAGACAACTTAGATGAAATAAACAAATTGTCAGAAAGACACAAATTAACAAAACTAAGTCAAGATGCAATAGAAAACCTGAATAGACCTATAACTAGAAACAGAAATAGTCATTAAAAATTTTCCCACAAACAGAAGCTAAAGCTCACAAGGCAACACTGAGAATCCTAATCAAATATTTTAAAAACAAGTAACATAAATCTTAAACATTCTGACCAACTCGGATTTATCCCAGGAATAAAAGGTTGGCTTAATCTAAAAAGGAACTAATGTTACATACCATACTGGTAGAATAAACAGCAAAAACCACATGGTCACCTCAACAGGTAAAGAACAGCACATGACAAAATCCAACACTCAATTCATCACTCACTAGGAATTACAAGAAAACTTCCTCAACCTTATAAAGGGTACCTAACAAAAATTCTGTAACATCCTACTCCCACCAATTCTACTCAACATGGAGGTTCTAGCCAGTACAATAAGGCAAAAGATAAAAGGCATCCACCTGCATTGGAGAAATGAAGTATTACAGCCTTTACTTAGAGAAGATCTGAGTCTAATATAAAGCACTTCAATATAGACTACTTAAAAAATAAAAATAAAAACCTCTTCAACTCAGAAGGCAAAAAATCCAATTGAAAAATGGGTAAAAGATTTGAACAGATATTTCACCAAAGATATACAAATGGCTAATGAACACAGGAAAAGATGTGCAATATTATTAGTCATTATACAAATGCAAGTCAGAACACAATGAGATACCACTACACATCCACCAGAAGAGCTAGAATCCAAAAGACTGACAATACACCAAGTATTGGTGATGATACAGACAAACTAGAAAAGTCAAACATTTCTGCTGAGGATATAAAATGGTACAGTCTCTTTGGAAAACAGCCGGTAGTTTCTTAAGTTAAATGTACACTTTCTGAACAACCTGGCAATTTCACTCCTATAGATCTAGTCATACGTCCACACAAAGACAAAATAATCCAAAACTGAAGCAATCCAAACATCCATCAACTGGTGACTGGATGTGCATACAATGGAATATCACTCCATAATAAGAAAATAACTCCTAATAAACTCTGTAACATGGGAGAATCTCAAAATTATTATGCTAAATAAAAGCAGCCAAAATCAAAACACTACTTATTAGGATTCAATTTAGATGAAATTTCTAGAAAAGGTAAATTCTCTAGAGATTAAAGCTGATTCGTGATTGCCTACGGCTAGAAGTTGAGGCAGAGATTAACTACAAACAGACAAGAGGGAACTTTTTTCAGTGAGGAAAATATTCTAAAAGTAGATAATGGTAATGGTTGCACAATTCTATAAATTTACTAAAAAAATATTAATTTGTATATTTACAATGGTACATTTTATGGTATGTAAATTATATCCCAATAGGCTATTTAAAAAAAAAGGTAACACATGGGGAAAGGGACCATTTCTCTATTTGTTCAGTTTATGGCATACAGTAGGCACTCAAGTCTTTTCTAAATTAAAAAAAAAAACAAAACTGTGGAGCATTTACCTGTCAATTTGACAACTCTCAATTTAACTGTTTACTGCATGCCAGGTACCATTCTAGGCAATGTGGACCACGGATGAATAAAGTAAATAAGATCTCTGCTACTTCTGAATGCATAATTTAATTAATGACATGGTATGAATGAGGAAATAAATGAAAAAGAGAAAGGTGCCATATAGAAAATAAAACGGGGTATGGATGATAAGCATGTCTGATAAGGAACTTGAGGTTCAGTGGTCTGAGGAGACCTCTAAAAGGAGGTGATCATATAAGCTGAGGCAAAGATGTTAATAAGTGACTGGCCATATGAAGATAAGGAGGAGAAAAAACATTCCAGACAAAAAGAATAGCAATGCTTGGCATGTTAAAGGAACAGAAAGATGGCCAGAATGGCTGGAGCACAATTAGTAATGGAGAAAGTGGTATGAGATGGGTCAGACTAAGTACGGTATTCCAAATCAGGGTAAAGAATTTAGATTTCATTTTAAGTATCATTGAACACCAATGGATAATTTTAAGTTTTATGAAACGTGCATACCATCTTCCCCACAAAAATCTTTTCAGTAAAGACATTCCACAATTCTTTACTAAGTTAGATTTTAATGAGACCTAAACCCAGTGCTAGTGTTATCAAAAGGTTAGATTTAAGATATTTTTTAATACTTGTCAGATTGTGTACCTCGTATACTTTTTTCAATTATATTGATCACCTTATAACAACAGGGAGAAGGTGTGATGTTTCCTATTTATCAATTATTTCCCCCAAAGCATTAAATGATTCAAATGTTTGGTAGACAGTATGCTTTCTTTCTTAACAGACTGATTTCTGAGCTTTCTATCATTTGTTATGAAACATTTTACTACTTTTGTTGCTGCTTCAATGCTTTGCTTTCCCCAAACCATGCCATCTGTTTTCCCTAAGGTTTACTAAAAAAGTTAAAGAGCATTGGCATTTCAGACATTCTAGCATCTTTTGAAACACATAGGAAGGAGCTTACTTCTCCGGCATAATAAAGTGCAGCAAGGACCAGAGCTCTTTGAGGGAATTCTGAAGAGGGGTCCCCGTAATCAGGAGCCTATGGTTGGACTTGAAATCAATCAGAGTTTTATACAATAAAGAGTCATCATTCTTCAACCGATGGGCTTCGTCCACTCCCAGAAAGGCCCAGTTAATACTGCCCAGCACAGTCTAAAGTAAAAACAAAACAGAACGAGCCACCAGGTCAGAAGGGAACCCAAAAGTACTTTCAAGTGTTAATTATCTCTGTACAAATACCATCACGAAGGTATACATAGAAACATTTATTCTTCACTGACTTAAAGTATATCAGGACTCTTCTGTTTATTCCGTTAGTTAACAGATTGGTGTCTACTCAAAAGAGCAGATCATCCTCTAAAAGCTATAGGGGGGGTCTTTTAGGCCAGGTTTTGCTGCATGCCTCAAAGTGAAAACACAAAAACTGGTATGCTGGGCAAAAACAACACAAAAACAAAAAATACATGATTTTGCAGTCTCTCCTTAATCAAGATTCTTCTCTGCCTATTCTCCACCCCAACCTTGAAGCACAGAAACACCAAGAGCCACCAAATTGCACTTGTTTATGCTTATTATCACCACTGGGATCACCTGGCACATACATTTCTTAGTAACTGTGGGAAGGAGATAATTTTAAGAGATTCATTTTTCTGTCCTCCTCCTCAGAGACCCTTACACAACATCTGTTCTGGAGAAATGCTTAATAATAAGATGGGAAGTACCTGAGAGGGCACTCAAGACCAGCTTCCAATGACTCACTAGAATCTCCAGTAAGTTACTGGCCTCAATCCCTTTCACCTATTTAATTCAATTGGCTTAGGTGACCCAAGGTCCCCTTCAACTGTAAGGTTCTGTTTATTTTCTAATAACCTTAATATTCTTCATGGATTTTTTTGTTTGTTCATTTGTTTGCTTTTTTTAAATACGAAAAGAAAAGTAACATGGCAAGGGGGAGGCAAAGACCCCATCATTTGGACAAGTCACACTCCAAAATTTAGCCTTTTGGTTACCAATTACACACCTTATCTTTTAAGAGGATCTCATATGTTGTTATAAGTGCATTGAACTTCAGCCTTTTGGTCTGACAGTGAATCCATTCATATTCTCGTATCTGTAAGAGAAAACAATCATTAAGATATAATTTCTACCTTTACCTTTCTATATCACCAGCAAGTCTTATGACAGATGCAATAAATATACCAAATAAAAATTAAATCTGATTAGAATTTAATGAATACCTTATACATTCTAAACTGACCTAAGCAACCAAAGTATAGAGCAATATGAGTTAGAATTAAAAGATCTATCGTGGAGCAGCAAAAACTTTATTGCCAGAATTCAAATAAATTGTCACCTCCCTCTGCCCCCCTCCACCCCCGATATATTTGACCACAAAAATGCATTTCATCAGCAATTAAAACCCTGGTAACTTGAACTTATCTAGGGAATCTCCCAGAATGAGAACTTTCTTAAGGAAATACAATTTGATCATTCTTTGGGTAGGGCATATTTTTATTAGTAAATAAAACAAATTCCAACCTCTGGCTTGGTCAGAAATTTCATTAATCATACAGCAGAACGATGTGGCCCCCAAGAAAAAGGAAAGGGAGGCTTACAGGATGAAAATACAATTTAATATGAATGAAAACCACGTCAACGCAAAGGAACACAAAAACTAACATTCGTACTGAAGTATAATATAATGTATTTAACTGGACACCCAGCAAGCACAATGGCCCATGACAGAGCTCCTACAGCTTGGTTATCAAGTTAAGAACTGGAGGACAAGTCAAGGAGAGCTGCAGGGACTCACCACAAAGTGGGAAGAAGAACAAAGAAAAGGAGTACTGGAAAGAAAAGAAAATGTCCCTGATTTCACAGTTTTTTAGAGTTCACTTTCTTTGTCTTCACCTTTCAATGCAGTAGTGCTTGAAGCAATTCTGCACAATCTAGAACTTTTTTAATGGTTAACGAATGGATTAACAAACTTAAGAACTACTATAGACTTAGAAACTCAAAATTAGAGCAGTGAAGTCTGCCAGAGTTTAGGTTAGAAAATTTTAATGAAAATATTTAATAAAAATGAATTTGCATTAGCATGGTAATATATGGTTGTAACATCTCTCTCAAACGTTGAGGACTCCTGATGGCTTGCTCTTATTATAAGCAATCCCCTAGAAACAGACAGTTTATTCCAACATACACACAGTGGTAAAAAAGCAAAGGTCTGGGACCAGACGTGTCTTTGTCCCAATCCCAGCTCTGCCACATTCCAGCTGGCCTGGGGACAAGTGTTAAACTCTCTGAGTCAATTTCTTTAACAGGAGATTGGAAAGAATATCATCTACTTTGAAGATTATCATAAGGATTATAGGTAATATACATAAAGCACCCAGCACAGGGCCTGGCACATAGTAAGTACCTTAAAAAAAGTTGTTATCAAGAAAAAGATTTGCCAGACAAAGACAAACTTAAGCCCATGTGTTCTAAGTTCCTGATGCTCAAGTTAACTTTGATATCAGACAGATAATTCTCTTTTCTGCAGCTCTGAAATGGCTCACTGTCCTTTTATTTCTTTCTTGTAAGTTATGCCACCTCACTATTTTAAAAGGTTAGGAAACAAACTCTAAGAACTCAATTATTTTCAGTAATATCTCTCTGCTCAAATAGCAAAAATAATATTAACATTCCACAAGGCATTAACTCTATCTTATAATCCTTTATAAATAAAGTGGTCTTGAAAGTACAGGGGAAAGAAAAACTTAATACTGCAATCCAACTAAAAGAGATTCCCATTCATGTACTGCTGTTGCTGTTCTTTACAAAGTAAGCATATGTTTTTAAGACTAACTGAATTGTATTTTGGGGATACATCAATTTCCCAATATCAGGGGCATAGCACCATGTCAGAATCACAATTTTACTAAAGGCTATAATGGCTTTAGGTCAATTTCCAAAAATACATTTATAACACAGATTCTATCCCAATTCTTTTTGTTTACACACCGTATTTCTGCTCATCAGGTCACCTATGTAAACCACTACGTTAATCTCTGGTGCCCAGATTTCAAACTCCCTCTGCCATGAGGTGAGGGTGGATAAAGGGACGACTATAAGAAAGGGGCCATACAGCTGGTGTTGGTGGAACAGGTAGGAGAGGAATGATATGGTCTGGATGGTCTTCCCTAGGCCCATTTCATCAGCAAGGATTACACTGTTACTTCTGCAGAAAGAAAAAGATAAAAACAAAAAGATCATTAGTTCACAAAAAAACAGTACGTGCACAAACAGCAAAGGCATCAATGCCTCACAATGTCACCAAGCAAGACATGGGTTGTGAGCTTCTAATGTCTTTCCTCTCCTCTGCAATTAACTCTCCTACATAAGACAGTCGAGTAACAAGTAATCTAAGTATTATCAAGGTTTGGATTACTACAAGAGCCTATTCAGACTATATGTTCTTTATCTTGCATTTTGGTCTTTTACATCTATCCCCTGTAACAGAGAAGGCAGGTTTTGTTATATTGGTGTATGCAAGCACATGACCTTGGGTTCCATCAGTACAGAAAGCAAGGGCAGATGGACTATCCCCACTGCTGATGAACCCTACAGGCTGACAGTCATGTGCCTTTGTTCAAAGTGCCCACCCATTCCACTGCAGGCCACTGGGCTGTTTAATGCTACATACACTACTCCCTAGACCTAAATGCTGGAGCTTGTTTTAAATACACTACTCTACAGCAGGGGTAGGCTGCAGATCAGATCTCTGAATCCCACCCCAGACCTACTGAATCAGAGTATCTGGGGAAGGGCTCAAGAATCTGTATTGTTTAACAAGTACTTCTGGATATTCTGCTATGGGTATATGGCTTGGACCACACTTTGAGAAACAAGGCTCTAGGAGACAGGCAGGAGGCAGGATTTCAACAGGATCCTAATAGAAAAGTATTGTAAAGATATTAAGAAAAAACCTTTAAGTAAATTAAGTTAATTTAAACTGAAAGAAATAGAGTTAGGAAAGTATGTTCCAGAAATAGAAAAGAGCCCATTTGACAGGAAACCAGGACTGCATGTATGCCATAAGTCTGAAAATATTACAAGGTTCTTGAAAATCAGGCCATGGGAGGTTTACACATATATAATACATGCTTAATCAGTGGACCGGAGAGAACTAAAACCAATATTCAAGTTAAAGACAACTTAATCGATTAGAAAAACAAGACATTTAATTCACCAAGAAGAGATTCCTTTGAGTAATTTTCCTCATATTTCTCTCACCTTTTCACACCACTGGGGAGGCAACAGGGTTAATTTTCTCCAACATTTCCTCTCCCTAGCAAACTGCCACTGTCCATTTATACACATGAAAGGAAGTTTGGATTGATTTGCCTGCTTTTCTAGAACTAGACCAAAACAGCATGTTACCTAACTCAAGGTTCCCATGACCAGGGCCTAGTAGCTGCCTGGGCCCTTTTCAGCTGATTCTGAATTAGTTTAAAGTAGAAAATGCTGGCTCAGGACTCTACATGGTGTGACTTTGGACAAGGGCTCCTAAGAGCCCTCAACTACAGAACAAGAGGGTTAGTTAACAACTCCTTAAGGCTCCACCTAGCTTATAACCGTCCTTTAGGAAGATCAGGTCTCACTATTCTCTGAAACAAAAATAACTTTCAAGGAATTTAGAACATCAGACCTCCATTCTCAGTCACAGAAATTGAATCTCCTCAAGATCTCTGATTCTCATATTGAACGTTAAATATTACATAAATTTTTACAAGACAAAGAGTAGTACATGGTTCAATTGGGAAAGTCATTGTAAATGCACCTCTGTAACTTAAAAACCATCTTTTCGGCATTGAGAAAAGAAGCTGGCATGTTGTTGTCTTCAGGCTGTAGTCTAATTCTGAAATAAGAATTCTTGCTTTGCCATAAAACACTAAGAAATTAAGAGTTTACATGTGGGGGAAGGAATCTGGAGACATACATTAAAGGTACTTCTCACACCGTATGTTCCATGAAGACAGGGGAATCCTGTCTTGTCTTGGTTCACTATTAAATTCTCAAGGCCTGGGACTTCCCTGGTGGTCCAGTGGTAAAGAATCTGCCTTACAATGCAGGGGACGTGGGTTCCATCCCTGGTCAGGGAACTAAGATCCCACATGCCTCGGGGCAACCCGCGCACCACAACTACTGAGCTCACGCACCTCAACTAGAGCCCACGTGCTGCAAACTACAGAGCCCGCGTGGTCTGGAACCCGTGCACCACAACCACAGAGCCCACATGCCACAACTAGAGAAGGGAAAACCCACATGCCACAACTAGAGAGAAGCCCGCGCACCACAACGAAGAGCCCGCACGCCGCAACGAAAGATCCCACATGCCTCAACAGAGATCCCACGTGCTGCAACTAAGCCCCAACACAGCCAAAAATAAATAAATAATAAATAAAATCTTAAAAAAAAATTCTCCAGGCCTACCTAGGTCCCTAATACATAGTAATTAGGGACTACTTGAATTTGCGATTGAATTTGGTGAATAAAATTTATGAGTACAGCCTCAAAGTACCTTTAAACCTCGTTGTCTCATCTCTCTTTTTCTTTTTTCCAAGACTATGGTGATCTTGTTACAAAAAAGTAACGGATAATTTCACAAGTCCAACTGTCAGAGAACTTCCTCTACAAGGGATGGCCTGTACAGCAATGGGGGGGTGGGGGTCACATCACTCTTCAGCACCACTATGTAAAATTAAAGGTTTCCCTGGCTCAGAAAGACAACTGAATGGAAAAAAGACATTTTCTTCTTTCTTCTGAGAATAACTCCTTCCCCACTAAAGATATGGGCAAATTACCTTGCTATTTATACTCATAAATAACATAGTAAGACATAGGTCTCTGGCTATGAGAAATTAACCCCCAAATAACTAAATAACAAAGTACTTTTTACTTCAGACTAAACTGGTAATTATACATACATAAAAACTCCCAGAAGTGGCTCCTTTCAATCACATGATTTTTTTATTTCTATAATGTACAAGAAAAGGAAGAAATTCTTTACACCTAACAGTTTTAAAAAGCCAGAAACAGTAGAGAAAACATCAAACATATTTTTCTACCTACTTGCACCAAGAATGAGCAAGCCAGTTGAGACCTTCTAGCTGATAATCTCGGAGCTCCAGATTCTCTCCTCCTAAATATGCCGGCTGTTTCTTTAAAGCCACAAATCGTGGTCTCTGCTTCAGGGCCTGAAATGCAAAATTTAACAAAGCCCAGGTTTGAAGAAAACCTTCCTCCTGTTCCTATGTTAAAATGCTAGCCATGATTTCTGTGCTCTACACCAAAGCATAAGAATTTAAATTTCACGTCTGAATCACCAACCACACCCAACCCACCACGAGCTCTTGCATTGTGGTCTGCATTCCCAAAGCCAGATTGCATCCCGAAATAATTTTTAGTCATTGCTCCTTTCCTGAAGTAAGTTTGCGAACATCATTAAATAGCATTGGGAAACAATGGATTAAAAACTTATATGAATTTCACGGCTCATGACTTTTCAACATTCTTGTGTATGCTGTGAACTTACAGGAGAAACTCATTCAGGAATATTTCCCAAAGTTATTTGGCCACAATAGTGTTTTTTTCAGGGAGCATTTCTCTGAAGATTAGCACTCTCTGGAATAGTGCCCCATTATGAGAAGTGTCGTCCTAATAACGTATTTGATAAGGTAATTATTGTTAGTTGCAGCTCTCCTTTGTGAGCAGCTGGCAGTAAATGGAATCAGATGCCTCTGGCTGTCCACTTCTGCCACATCTGCCCCACAGTGCTTCTCCCATCCGACCCCCCAGCTGCTGCCACTTCCCCCATCCTCACACTAATTCTCCCTCCGTGGGCTTCTACGACACCTTCCTGGTGGGACCTTCTGGCTTTAACAACTGTTTACTCTGGTCTCCAACACATGGCCGTTAGATGAAACTTTCTAAAGGAAATACTGTTTCCTGCCTGCTGCTCTGCTCAGGAGGGTAGGCTTATGAAGACCCACAGAATAAAATCCAAATACTCTCCAAGGTATTCAAGACATACACACTTTGACTCGCCAATATCACCTCCCTCTCTTCCTACCCTGAGGTCCGGTGGTCCTCCTACTGACTATAAGAACATCTTTCTCTTAATATCTTTCACGGGAGGCCAATAACCTGGGCCCCCTTCTGTCTGTCTAACCAGCTCCAATCAAGTCTTCAAGGACAGGGCACTTCAAGCACCACAATTTCCTCATTTTAAAACCGCTTCAATGATCCCTGTGGCTCAGTGACTCCTACTTCTGGAATAGTCTTTATCACACTCATTGACCTTCAGTTACACACTGCTTTTCACAGCTAGAGGTTTGGTGCCATGAATTTGAATGTCAACCTCTTGGAGAGAGAGGCCATGTCTTACATAAACATTTACTACTGAGGACCCAAGCATACCAATTTACACAGGGAATGAATTCCAAAGAAAGAAAAGGAACTGTACAACCAATCTAGCAAATAAAAGAGCCTATATATTTAGTTTATAACCTAGAATTCAGACACTCCTCTTTCCCGTCACTTCTCTTTAAAGTGCTTTAATTCTTTCCAGTATTCTCTACAATATCTCCATATTAGATATATCTAATTGTGTAAATAAGAAGATTAAAGAAGTCAGCAAAGCCATTATACAACTCATCCTCTCCTTTTGTTTTAATTATTTTCCTTTGATGTCATGGTTAAGTCATTTTCTTTCTCTTCAAAATAGGAATTATCACTTACTTTTGTGGTATTCTCTCTTCCCAACATCTATCTATGTGGCCAACCCTTTGTAGCAATACACCTTTCCCCTGAAAATTCAAAAGCCAGCAGTCACCACACCTTGCATTCTCTTGTTGGGATGGTTTTTGAGTTGTTCCGACTATGGAAGCTGTCGATGCAGCTCTGGAATTTCTTTCCAATCAAGGCTTCATCTTCCCAGCTGCACTCTGAATAGGGCAGTCCCATCCATTTGCATAGATATTCAGGTTCGTTGGAAGGTGCCGGCTTCCGACTGTGAGCTATTTCACATATAAAAATTTACAGATCAGCAACTGTCAATTAAAGGAGAGGAGTGACATTCTGTTTTATGTATAACCAAGGAAACACCATGTGGCAAAGCTGTAAATATTCTGCAAAACATGAACTGCTCTTAAATGCTAAACGGTATTTATAAACAAGTTGTCTTGCTTACCTGGAAAATCTGTTTGACCCAGTGTAGATTTGCTCGTCTTCACAGCTAAATAAATGGAAAGCTGGGTAAGTTATCACCATAACCAAGAAAACGGTGACATTTTAGGTCCTATGAATAAGAGTATAAATATACTCTACTATCTCACATCTTAAAAAAAGAAAAGAAAAAGCAGCCTATCCAGCACTTACCCCATCTCTCTGTTCCCCCTTTACAACAAGGCTCCCCGGGGGAGCTTTCTTCATACTGTCCCCTCACTCTCCCCTGAAGCCACCCCATCAGGCCTGTAGCCCCACCACTTCATGGGTCCATCTCCCCAGGGCCAGGCCTGCTGCCAAGCTGAAGGATCAAGTCCCAGTCCTCTTTGACTGGCAGCGCCTCCTCCTGCCCGAGCCGCGTGAATCACCTGGCTCCCAGCACACCTCCCTCTCCTGGCTCTCCCCCTGTCTCACTGGCTGTCCTTTCTCACTCTCCTCTGCTGGTTTCTCTTCCTGACTTCCGAAAGCTAGAATGCCCTCTGACTTCTACTCGCACCACGTACACATTCTTGATTATCTCATTAAACCTTAGGCTTTAAATACCATCTACATACGGATTATATCCTCAAATTTAAATCTCCAGTCCGGACTGAGTTTTAAACTCCAGACTCATATATGCTACAGCCTTCACAATACTATCCACTTAGATGACTGAGAAGTATATCAAACTGACAAATATCAAAATAAGTTCTTGATTTCCATTCTTTCTATTTCAGTAAATGGTACCTCTAGTCTCCTATTTGCTCAGGTCAAGAATCTTGGCACCATCCTTGCCACCTCTTTCTTTCCCCGCATCTCCAAATCTACTGGTAAAGCCTGTTAGCTTTTCCTTCAAAATAAATCTAGGCATCTGTCTATTCTCCAAAAGTATACCTACAAAAATGCATTTTTAAAAAATATTTATTTATTTATTTGGTTGCACTGGATCTTAGTTGCGGCAGGCAGGCTCCTTAGTTGTGGCATACATGTGGGATCTAGTTCCCTGATCAGGGATCGAACCTGGGCCCCCTGCACTGGGAGCGCAGAGTCTTAACCACTGTGCCACCAGCGAAGTCCCACATTTTTTCAATATATATACATTACTCCCAAAAGAAAAAGTTCTATTATTCCTGGAGCTCAAACACTGCTTAGATGAGTTTCCATGTACTTACCTATTACTCTTTCTACTATCTGATACTGTTTGTTCAGCTCTGAGGCCAGCTCTTGTTGGCAGTTGAAATATTCCACATCTTCAGGAGAAACTTTCCCTAACCTGGACAGAAGACAGACAGAAAAAATAAATACTTATTAGATTTGGGGGATCCATATACATCTGTCAATGCAAAGTCAAGGTAGGAAAGGAAACTTAGTCTTTACTTTCATATGTCCCTTAATAATCTTTTACTAATAATTAGGCCAGAGATTTTAAGAAAAACACGTAAGACTTAGAGAAAACACTAAAAACCTTAGACTTATAGGACACACCAGTTGTTCTCTCTGATGTGGCCCATTAATAAAGAAACCTAACAATAACTATTTTGGGTGATGAATTCATGTGATAAATTCATATATCTTAATAGATAAGGACAATAAAACTCTTCCAGATTTACAAGAAAACCTGCTTTTTTTCAAATATGTATGGGCTTTAGGCGTGATTAAATGTGGCTTTTTTTAGAAAACCAGTTATTCATACTTATAAAACGACAACACCAGCAACCTGAAATTGAATACTGCTATAGCTTTCAAGCATTTTTAAAATTCTAATCGCTTTACAAACTACCCATATCTTAGGGATACATATTTTTGTTTTCAACTCAAAGAAAAAAATTTCTGATTTACTGAAGCAGCATATTTTGCATAGTAATAAAACAGGAATTGGAACCCATTTGTCCCTATTCCTAACACAAAATAACCTCATCACATGACACTGACACATATGTCTTCGGGGGGAACTTATGCTTCTTTTTGTCAGTTTAGTTGTGTGTATGCTGTGACCCCACGTATGTCTCAGATGCAACCTAACATGCTCAAAGCTGTAAGTAAACTACAAACCACAGGCTATCACAGTTTCAGAACATCTCTGTCACATCCTTTCTGTAAACTGTGTAAAACCAAGATTAGTTTTAAGTATATCATAACCCAGAGAGTTCTAGATTATTAACTCCTGACATCCAAGCTACCCCAGGACAACCACAGAATAACAAGGTGCTTAAGTACGTTAGCCTTGGACTCAGGCTACCAGAATTCCAATCCTGGGCCCTCTCACAGAGTTGCTCTGTACCTCACTCTTCCCACAAAAAAACATTTTGTTCAACAGTACAAATCTCATAGGATTACTGTGAGGATTAATGAGATCATGTCTGAAAAATGCTCCATAAGCTAGTTATTATTAAACTCTACAGATTTGGTGGCTACACACAAAAATATATACTATCTTCAGCTCACAGTTTTATAAAACGTAATCGTGGATGCCTCCACGTTCATTCAGATGCTAAAGGCAAAATTTGATATTCTAGATAGCTGTGTTCTCCATGGACTAGTTAAAAACCTTCCCTTCCTCCAGGCTGCAGATGTATTTCTTTTATCCAGGATGGATAATGTACCATTGCTTGATTTCATCCTCTTTCTTCTTGAAGTTCTCTAGTTTTTTTAGGCCCTTCACTTTCTGCTGCTGTAAGGACTCTTCACTCTCCCACGTGCTATGGATATACGACCAGCCCTTCCACTTGATGAGGTACTGGACTTCGCCTTCATCCTTTTCAGGGTCAAAGTCGCCACTAGGGTCTCCGTTAGCTTCAACTGCATATACAGTAGTAGAAGCTCCAGTGGCTGAAAAAGGATTCAGTTAAATTTTAAAAAGCATATTGAACCAGACATTGAAAAGCTTCCCAAATACACAAATGTCTAAAAAGTCTCTTTATGGATGAAGCACCAAAATCCTTTGACTCGAAATAAGCAGAAATTCACAAACAATACAGAATGAACATGTTCAACAATTTCAAATATTTTCATGATGCAAACCCAATTTTCACTACTTAAAACATTACAAAATTTGCTGGTGAAATCAAAGAAATCTCTGTATCCAAACATAATAAAAATGGAACAGCAATATCCTTTTGTTTTGGTCCCTACTAACTCAGGAAACAAATCTGTCTCTCTCTCCAGGAATATTAAGAACAAGGTAAGAGAATTTAAAATCTCCCCAATTACTCAACCACCCAAAACTCCCTGTTGACTCTCTTAACCTCAAGTAAGCCTGGATAAAAAAAAAGACAAAGAAAAATGAATTATGTATTATTTTGATATTTCCTATATGGAAAGGTTACTTTAAAAAACTGAGTTGTGAGATATCTCAATTTGGATATAAAAAATTCTTCACTACTGTCCAAATATGTATTTAACGCGTTTGACACTTATCACAAGGAGATTCAAAAACAAGTAACTAAAGGTAGATTTACTTAATGTTAATAATCAAGAATCTCTGCTGCATCACTGGTTTTTAAGATATTAAAACATCTTTAACCAGCTCAATTTTAAAATCTCAAAGACATATGGGACACAGCCCTACAGTCTCAGGTCAGTTTTTCTGTGGGTCAGAAAAACTTCCACATTTCACAACAAATAAGGGCATGGACTGAAATTCATCACTTCAGAGCTCAATACATAAAATTTGGGCCTTACTGAGCAGATATAAAAAGTAATTTGTTAGCTTCCAACGGCAGGGAAGGGGCAGCAGGTGTCATGTCTGGCCGCAAAGGTGTCAAGAAGCCCCTGAAGCAACCCAAGGATCAGGCTAAGCAGATGGACGAGGAAGGTGAAGCATGCAAGCAGAAACAGAAAGAGCAGAAGAAGTAACTCAAGGAGCTAAAAGCAAAGGCCAAGGGGAAGGGTCCCTGGCCACAGGTGGCATTAAGAAATCTGGCAAAAAGTAAGCTGTTCCTTGTGCCTGAGGCAATGATGATCCTTAACTCTATTCCTGTTTAAACATCTGGACTCCCTGCCATAACATCTGTTGCCACCTATGGCAAAAATGAAGTGTTGTCTTCACATACCTCCTTTCTTTCCCAGCCTTGAATCTAAGACCTTTTCAATAGTTTCACTATTATCCTGCTGTTCATCAGCTCCTTCTCCAGTCATTTCAATGAGGTCATCTGAGTCAGTCTCAAAGTCATCGTCTTCTTTATAACTGCATGAGGAATAATGTCGAATAAATGAGAAACTATCTTTTCAGATTCAAACACCACCATACATAGTATCATTAGGACGAGGAACCATACCCTTTTGGCTGCAACATGCTGTTGTGCAGATCAGCCACGATAAAATGGGCTTGAAGTTCATTTTTTTTTCCTGCTTAAAGTATTAATGCATGTTCACAGATAGCTGCAGGAAGGCTAACATATTTCAAAATAGAAACTGACTACAGTGATTTCTGTAAGCAAGACATAGAAAACTACTACAAAGACACTCCTATGTTTTCTTATGTTTTCTTTTTTTTTTTTTTTTTGCTGTATGTGGGCCTCTCACTGTTATGGCCTCTCCCGTTGCGGAGCACAGGCTCCGGACGCGCAGGCTCAGCGGCCATGGCTCACGGGCCCAGCCGCTCCGTGGCATGTGGGATCTTCCCGGACCGGGGCACGAACCCGTGTCCCCTGCATCGGCAGGTGGACTCTCAACCACTGCGCCACCAGGGAAGCCCTGTTTTCATTTTTTAATGAGGTCATTACTATGTATAAACAAGGAAACAACTACAAAGAAAGAAAATGCACGATAAATGAAAAAAATTACTAGTATTCCATTACATAAAAGCGGAGCAATACATCTAAGATTGAATGTACCGACCCTGCATTTTGTCTCCCAATAACAAGAATATGAAATTTAAGTATTCTCAAGTTACTGAGCATACTTCCTGGTAATAAAATATTAAAATGTAACCTTCCACCATATATTAACAACAAATGGTTTGGGGGTTACAGAAGAGAAAAACACAATTCTGGATGCAGTACAGCTGTAGGAGGAAAAAGTGCTGAGCTACATATTAACATACTCAAAACCTAGTCCTAGCTTTCAAAGTATTAACTGGATACATTGAACAGGTTATTAATAACTCCAGGACTCAGTTTCACCATCTTTAAGTAGACCAAAAGAAACCTGCATATCCTCTAAAAGGAAATTAAATACCCTTTGATTCATATAAAGTAAAATATTTATGTTTGCATATATCTATTCCTTTATTTCATTTTCTATTAATGCTTCATATCGTATCGTAAGCTTGATAAGATTATTATATCCAAATAATACATAAGCTGAAACAAAAGAATTTGGCTGATTCAAACAGCAATTCAAAAGTGAAAATACAATCCTAATGTCCTTCCTAAAAAAGGATGTTATGAAATGAAGATAACATCACTACCACCTCAACGAAACATGAACTTGAAATAAAGCAGTTCTCTTCATAGGAATGAAGGCTTGAAATGAGTTATCACTATTCTTTCCATATTTGGCCAGAACCATTCTTTTTGCAAGAACCCTGACCAGATTTCCGAATACAACCTCAAGACACAGGTCATTATTTTTACCTATCAAATGCCTAATCCTGGACTTATCAGAACCAAGCTCTAGCCAACTACACTATCACCTTCCCTTCACACTAATGAAAACCTTCTGGGGCATCACCTACCTAACATTTTTAGCCGCTCTGCGGCGAGTCTGCCTTTTGGGAGCTTCATCATCTTCATCCTCATCATCAGAAGAATCTTGCTTTTTCCTCTTTCCACGCTGCGTCTTAGGTTGCTTTTTAACACGAGGTTTGGGCATTGCTCTAAAATGAGAAAAGAAAAAATGGCGAAGTCCTTACTTTATCATCTGTTGTCTACTTCAAATCTATATAACTGTTATTTCCCAGAGCAGGGTTCATACATAGGAATTAACCCGGGGAATGTTAGACATGAATATTCCCAGGTCCCATTCCCTGAGATTCTAATTCACTAGAGATCTGCTTCACTAGAAACACGAAAGTGATTCTACTGCTAACACCCTTCAGTCATTTATAGGAACAGTCAGCCCTCTGTATCTGCAGGTCCACATCTGCATATTCAACCAACCATGGATCAAAAATGTACTTGCAAAAAAAATTCCACAAAGTTCCAAAATGTAAAATTTGAATTTGCTGAGCATTAGCAGCTATTTACGTAGCATTTACATTGTATTAGGTATTATAAGTAATCAACAGATGATTAAAAGTATACAGAAGGAGATGCATAGATTATACGAAAATACTATAGCACTTTATATAAGGAAGCGACTTGAGCATCTGCAGATTCCGGTATCTACAAGGGTCCTGGAACCAATTCCCCGCAGGGACGAAGGGAAAACTGTACTGTGGGTTCTGAGGCAACGGTTCTCAACTATTCCTCAAGATCACCTGACATAAAAATACACATGCAGCACGCTGCTGATGACAGCTCTCTGGTGGGCAATTTGGAAATATCTATCAAAATGACAGGGCTTCCCTGGTGGCGCAGTGGTTGGGAAACCGCCTGCCAATGCAGAGGACACAGGCTCGAGCCCTGGTCCAGGAAGATCCCACATGCCGTGGAGCAACTAAGCCCGTGCACAACTACTGAGCCTGCGCTCTAGAGCCCGCAAGCCACAACTACTGAAGCCCTGCGCCGAGCCCGTGCTCCGCAACAGGAGAAGCCACCACAATGAGGCATGCACATGGCAAGGAAGAGTGGCCCCCGCTGGCCGCAGCTAGAGAAAGCCTGTGTACAGCAACGAAGACCCAACGCAGCCAAAAATAAATAAATAAAATAAATTAATTTATTTTTTAAAAAATTACAAATATAACAATTTTATTTCTGGGAATTGACTTTACAGATATAGACTGATACAGACACAGTAAGGTATTCACTGTGGTATTTGCAATAACAAAAGATTAGAAAAACTAAACATTCATCAACTGGGAACTAGCTCAATAAACAGAATACTACGCAACCATAAAAAAGGGAGTTTTCTGTGCATTGATAAGGAAAGATTTCCAAGATAATGAAAGAAAAATGCAGAAGATGATGCATGGAATGCTATAATCTGTATAAAGGAAGTAAAGGACAAGAAATAACTGCACATATATTTTTCTCCTATGTACATTAAATATACCAGGAAGGCTACCTGAGAGACTGTGCCCTGCTACAGACCAATGGAACGAACTGAGGAGGTGGCCCCTCTATTGACTTCCCTGCAGCCAGGACTGAGAGCCACAGACTAGGAGCTCTCAAAAGGAAATCCCCAAGTTCTCCATCAGTGGTAAAAAGGTGAAAGGAGAAAGAGGGAGACGGAAACTCACAATCATTATCACCTGTTTCTCTCATACCTGCCATAACCAACACTACACAGACAGATGATCAGAGACTCAATAAATGATGGGTAAAATCTAGAAGACAGAACTGGAGTGGATTCCAGCCCTGAGAACTGAAACTGAGAAGAAAGGAGACAAAACTCACTGATGAATTTCCCTGCTGGGGTGGGAGGTGAGGGGTCAAGTACAATGTCCTAAGCCAGGGATAGACACATGTTTGCTGTAAATGGCTAGAGGATAAGTATCTTTTACTTTCTCAGACAAGAGGCAAAGTTGAGGCCACTAAATAGGTACTTATATAACAAGAGAAAATAAATTTTAACAAATATTTTATTGACGAAAGTCAAAATAAAATAATAATCATTGAGTACTTTTTTGTGTAATACAACATTTACTAACGAGAAGAACAGAATTCTTTTTGAAGGGATAACATTTCACTTCGCTAGGGTTCAAATTTAGTGTTCCCCATCACCAAACTACAAATGTTCACCTATAAAAGCTATATTGAGTTCGCAGGCCATACAAAAATAGGTGGTGAGTGGGATCTGGCCCAAAGTCAATATCTGCCAAAAGCATCCTAAGCAATACTACAAGGAGGTAAATTTTCCTGGGGCCTCTCTGCCTCCTGCCTTCCGTTCCCCATCACCACTACCTTTCATTGCCATATGTCTGATCAAAAATTACCAGTTTCCTCTCATCGCCACCTACTTCCTTCCCTGCACAGATTCTCTGCTTAACGTTATAAAGATTACGAGAACAGGGTAATAAACAGTAAAGTATGCTTTGAACCAGCCAATTAAACTTAACAATTAGTTCTCCCAAAAAGAACTTGTACACTAGTCAAATACACAGGGAGCTTTTTTTAAGAGTGGAAGATACATTCGCTCCTCATAACTAGTCTGCCTGGAGTATGAACAGTAAGATCCACTCTGAGCTACATACCATGCAAACACACAAAATCAATGTAAGTAGCTCAGTAATCGAATTACTTGTTAATGATGCAGGCTGGCAAGAGGTTAACCAGACATTCAAAATCCGGAATCACAACACACTGTACCCCATCAATTAAGGCCTTCAGGCTAGCACTACATCGTCCTTCTCAATCTAACACAAACTAAGCTCGACCAGAAGCAGAGATGTTCAAGCAAGCACTGCACCTTCTGGGGACAGGTCTTCTGGCTTTCACTTTTTTTTGCTCTGGTTCGCTCTCTGCACTGGTGCCTTGTTCCTGTTCATCTTCTGAGGGCTCCCGTTTCCATTTTTCTCTGTGATCAAAAGCAAAGCAAAATTTTTTTTTCTAAAAGAATTCTTCAAGATTTGTTTAGCTTGAAGAATCTGACAAATCTGACAATCTGATTAGCCAAAAAGGCAGAACATGTATATTTTAGATATTATGCTAAAAGATTCGTTCTAGCTCCATTTAAATTTTGGTTGTGTTCCTTCCTAGGCTGTGTAGTATCTATTCCTATTTTATATCTGGTATCAAAAATAAATGAAAATGGAAGCTAAGGCTGTATTTTTTAAACTGTTTGTTCTGAAAAAAAAAAAAAATCCTGCTAAATCTCTAATATTCTATTTTTATTTACTACTATCATTGACCAGATTGAAGACATAATATATACTAGATCAGAGGTTCTCAAATTTTAGCATGGATCAGAACCACCTCAAGGGCTTATTAAAAGAGATTTTTGGGCCACAGCCAGTTTCTGATTCAGCAGGTGTAATGTGAGGCCTAAAAATTTGAATGTTAACAAATTCAGATGATGCTGAGAGACTTGAGAACTACTATACTAGTTATTTTAACATCTTTAGAATACACTGAGAAAACAATCCCCAAAATTATTTTTCAATGATAAATCTACTACCTACTAAATAACCTGTTCAACTAATGAAGTAGTTTTTAATAATTATTAAATACAGTAGGTATTCTTTTGCTCCTCAAGATCGTAGAAGACTTGGGAGAGCCATACCCTATAGGTGCCCTACTATCCCCAAACAGTTTTTGAAGTTTACTTGAATACCAAACAAGACATCACATAAACTCAGCTCATTTCTCACCTGCAGGGAAGAAGGAAGGAGCATATATAATAGCTACTGGGCATGAAATATCTAGAGGAAAAAAAAAAAACTTAATAGGCAAGAACCTGGGGTTCTCTCTAAACAAAACAATTACCATTGTGTCTCTGGGTCTGTGTATAGAAAATGAGGTTATGCTAAAGACAACTCTTGCCAAGTTGCAAAGTCAAATCAATATTCTTCATGGGAGAATAAGTCCAAGTAATAGTGGAAGAACCTTCCTAAAAGGTCCAGGAGCCACCCTGCACTTGAATTAGTGGAAACATCACAGGAAAAAATGTTTTTCAAGCCTTCCATGAAAAGGCAGTGGAGCACTTCTACGTACATTATTCAAGTTCTACTGGCACTACCATTTCATATCCATTTACCTAATAGTAGGTCACTACATGTGGGCAGGGTATCTTTGTACCGAAGCTTAGCACAAAGGCAGGCAAATGGAGATACATCTTTGTTAAATAAAGAAATAATTAAAGAATGAGTCCTATCAGACTGTCAGACAGGTAGGGTGCTTTCAGAAGCAGACTGGTAAGATATTAAGGCCTACTATTGTCACCTAATATCCTTCACTCTCTCTTTAAAGCAAACTATACTCTGGGAACCTGCTTTATTCTCCTTGCCTAGAGCCTCGTACAATAAATGTCTGCTAAGGAATCCAAGGAATAGATGGTGACGACCAGGAAGGAAAAAAGGAAGATGTCTCCAGCAATTGGGAGATTGGCACCTACGGCTACAGTCTCCCTTGGGCCAAGTCCAGAACAGTTTACCCTTTAGAAGGAACTCACACAGTCAAACTGGAAAGAAGTGGTTTCACAGGAAACAAGCTTGAAAGAACATGCACGTAAGACCTAAGGGAGAGCAGATCAGATGAGAAAGATCCACAGTCAAGTATTATTTGTAATTTACATAACTCTGCCAGAAATTGAGAATCTATATCAGGTAGCTAATAAGGTCCACTTCCATAACTTTAGGAGACTAAACTGGCAGTAAACACTGAGAGAATGGATGTTGAGTCTAGTTTTCCAGTTAAACTGCAGATTTGTAGACTTACAGACAACCAGGAGGACTTAGAATCTCCCAATATAAGAACGTACAAAGGGCTTCCCTGGTGGCGCAGTGGTTGAGAGTCCGCCTGCCGATGCAGGGGACACGGGTTCATGCCCCGGTCCGCGAAGATCCCACATGCCACAGAACGGCTGGGCCCATGAGCCATGGCCGCTGAGCCTGCGCGCCCAGAGCCTGTGCTCCGCAACGGGAGAGGCCACGACAGTGAGAGGCTCGTGTAACGCAAAAAAAAAAAAAAAAAAAAAAAAAAAAGAATGTACAAAAAATTAGCAAATTGTCTGGTTCAAAGGCCTCTTCCCAGGTAGGGGGAAACTCAAGACCAGGGAGAACAAGCTGTTTGGTACATGTCAAATCCCCAACCCTGCTACTCTCAACCATAACCTACTGAAGACCACAGAATCTGCAAACATTAAAGCCAGGGTTACACATTCTGGGAGGATCTGAACAATCAGAGGCCTAAAAGATCTAAATGAGTTTTATGTATGTGTATTTGAAATTGGCTGGATTACTTCAAACTTCATTTTAATTTTCCAGAATAGAGGGGGAAAAGAAGTAAGTTACAACCAGCAATACTAAGTCATTTTGTATAAGGGGTGAAAAAGGCAATCAATTACAAAAAGATTACTGCCCAACCCTGGCTCTCCAACAGGTGAAACCGATGTCCACTTCTAGTTTGCTAGCTTCTCATATAATGCAAATTTTATGAGGGAGACTCCCTGACTAAGCTGTATATTATATGCTGGGCTACAATGAAGAGAAGTCTAAAATATAAGATCGTGATTAAAATATTTTTCATACATTAAAGGAGACTTGAATTGCCAGATTCAGCTCTACGAGGCCATCAATGGGATTCCCTAAAAGGGAATCAATGGAATTTTTGCCAAAATTTTGGGAACTGGGGAGAAAACTACCAAGATTTGGCCACTGAGGCCTCAAGGCAATATAAATAGATAGGAAAAAGTCAGAATGCAAGTTAACTGGGTATAGTTTTCTTCCTTTACTAAGAAAAGGTGGTTGGTAGGACACAAATCAAATCTGAACTGTAAAGGAGGGAAGGAACAAAAGCCATTTTTAAATAAAAGGGGCCTAAACTCTGGTCAAGAGCCATTGAGGCTTCCTATTAACTGTCTCTAAGAGCTCAAAGAAGGGAACTCCTTTCTCCTCCACTTTAGAAGGCAGGTAAGGAAAGAGGGAAAGAGTTGCTTTAACTTCACTGATTTTCAGTAGATTTTCCCGTAGAGAATGCCTTTCAGTACCAATTCCCAGTGAAAAGGGGAAATCTGGGGCTAACGAAGATTCTCTTCCACTGTCACAGGACTGTGACAGACTTTCAATTCAAAGCAATGGAAAGGGAGAAATAACTAAAATCCCAGGAGAATAACTTCAAATGATTACAGCTGAAATACTTTTTTAGATTCCAGTTGGGAGAGAGGGTTTTGGAACCACTGTACAGTGGGGTTAAGCATTACTGGGACCGTAACGAGTAAGGAGAAATCCCATACAACATTTCACAAGTTAGGATAACATGAATAGCGACTACATAAAAAAGCGTTCAATGATCAAAACAGCATGAGTGGGTGAAGCAAAACTCAAAATTTTGTTTGTATGACTTTAAGTCAGGGGTTACAATCTCAAATACCCACTGGGGCCAGGTAAGGACCGTAAATGGGGTCAAATGGAGAACTCACGGGCTCTCCAAAGGTTACAAAGACCAGTGTTATATGGGGCAGCACCGACAGCTTTTCTCAAAAACTAGAAATCTAGATTCTTACATACCATCCCTCAATTTTCAACACTGCCAACTAATTCAAAAAATGTTTTCCTGTTCTAAGCTTTTAAAATGCTAATTCACATGACTCAAGGAGAGTTACTCCCTTCCAAGACTGTACCTTCAGAAGTGTCAATGTCATAAAAGCAAAGAAAGTCTGTGAACATGCTCTGGATTAATGAAACCTGACAACTAACATATATTTAACCCTAGATTGGATCCTGTCCTGGGGGTGGCAAAATATTATGAAAGACATTATTGGGTTGACTGACAAAATGGGAATATAAATTAGACAAAGGGGTTGTAGCAATGTTAAATCTATTTACGTTAAAACTGTATTGTGCTTATGAAAGAAAACATCCTTATTCTTAGGAAATACACACTTAGAACTCGGGGGTGAAAGACCTTGATGTATGAATCTTAGTCTGAAACATGTGTGCAATATATAAGGAGAGCACCCACCAACGATAAAGCAAATGGTGCAAAAATGGTAACCAACGGTAAATCTCAGTAACGTACACAGGCATTCTTTGTACTACTCTTATTCTTACAATTTTGCTACAGTTTGAAATTAATTCCAAAAAAAAGTTTAAAAATGGCTCCTTTTAAAAATTTTAAAATCTGTGATACAATCTGCAGGGCAGGGTTTCAGAAAAACACTTTTCTGTGCTAATATTTCCAAATTTCCACTCCCTTTTAGTGAGTCTCTCAATTCTGAAATTCATGTGCACACACACTGGGTTCTGTTACCCTTGCTCAGATCACAGAGGCCCCTGTAGTGCTATGCCTTGCAACCTGAGCCTTAGCAGTTGTAGGACCTCCTCTAATTAATGTTAGAAGGGAAGAGGTCCCCATAAGCCCTAGTACTCTCCAGCTGCCCAGAGGATGACAAGAAGTGAGGCCAGCCCAGGGCCCAAATAAACAAGCATGAGGAGAACCTCAGCTTCTCCTAAGTTCCTATGGAAGCGGCCAGGGGTAGAAAAGCAGCATCACAGAAGACACAAACCCCCCACAAGGAATGAAAAGGTTCTACTCAAGGGAAAGAATGGTCCATGAAGGCCACTGAGAGTTGCCAACTTTGGAGAGCTCTCAGGATTGATAGAAGAGGGAAAATAAATACAGAAGCCAGTCAAAAGAGTAAGTCCGATGTGTTACACAGGGACTGAAAAAATGGAAGGCTTCTCCACACCCAGATAAAGCCATTAAAATGAGGAGTTCAGGGACTTCCCAGCAGTCCAGTAGGTAAGACCCCACGCTTCCACTGCAGGGGACACGGGTTCGATCCCTGGTTGGGGAATTAATGCAGCACGGCCAAAAAAAGGAAAGAAAAAAAACGAGGAGTTCACGTTTTCAAGTACAGCTCATTTAGATTCCAGCCAAGAGACCAGCAGAATGTAGCCAGACGGTGGAGGAAAAAGCACATGCATGGACTTCCCAAAAGCCCGCAAAAGGCCATTAGCCTGGGAAGCTGAGAACAGAGTCTCCCAAGCAGGCCCTGGGACTGGGGAACAAGAGCCTTCTGAGCTGCCAAGAAGTACAGGCTTGCCTACAGTTATCATTTCTCCAACTCTAACGAAATATTTAAAACACAAATGAAAATCATATGCCCTGTGGGCAGGGCAATATTAAATACTACTTGACTTTTCTTAGCATAGCTTCTAATAACCCTGTTAGGTCAGCAGAATAAGTATTACTCTATTTTGGAGAGGAGGAAATGGATTTTAAAAACTCACATTACTTTGCTTTAGGCCAAACACTTAAATTAACGATCACTAATACTTTAAAACAGAGAATATATAACTGGGGCTCTCAGTGGGAGCCAAGGACAATCGTTTACCATGAGAACCCCCTGAATTTGTGTGCAGGGTTTTGAGTATTCTTCTGAGGAGACAGGCTGTAGAATTCAGTTTGTCAAAGGGATCCACACATCCCCCCAAAAAAGGTTTTTTTAATTATTTCTCCCCCCCCAAAAAAAGTCAAATTTTTTTTTTACCATAAGTAGAATTTTTTAAGTTTTAAAATAACAAATATATAATCTATATCATAAAGGGATTTCATATTAAGCCCATGAATTAAAATTTTCTGGCTTATGAACTGCAATAGTAAAACTACATGGAAACAACAATGTGAAATTTCATACTAAAATGGGTGTCCAACCAATATAACTTTGCCATGCCAACACAAAGAACGAATGAATAGGAAAAACAGCCAATCTAAATGTGTTCCTTGTTTATCTACAATAGAATACCAAATGCCTATATGTTTGATATTCGTGCACATTTTTAAGAAAAAAAATAATTGGGCTAACTGGGCAAATCAGATGGAATAGCTGGGGTTTGCCCCATAAAGTAGCCTAACACCTACATGTGAAAAACTAAGAATCCTGGGCTTCAAAGGCCACTGCTGCTGCAGCAGATTCAGATGAACAGGAATCCAAGATAGCAAGAGACAGAAGTGGACTCTGGGGCCTGGGGTGCGCTACAGACACAATGAAGGCAGTCCCAGAAATGCTCACATGCTCCAAACTACCAAATCAGGTAATTTCCCCCATGAAAGACTTACTGTTTTTTCAGCTGCCTCTGGCCTCTTCTTTTTGGGCTCCCACTCTCAGACCCGCTACTTGCCTTCAGTGTGTGAGGGGGAAAAAATGATTACAGACTTTAATTCACAGTTCTTAGGGATAACACTACCCCCTGGTTCAACAATCTACTCAATATATTCAATATGAGTTTTTAGACAGAAAGAAACCTAAGCATCTGATTGGTGGTGCTCCCTTTTCTTTTGCTTTGAAAATTAATTTGTCTGTTACTGCCGAGTTACTTCTAACACCAGGAAATATTTCTTTCAGCTTGACTTCTGAAAGAACACAAATGCCAGGAAATATTTTTTTCAGCTTGACTTCTGAAAGAACACAGTCCAATAAAATTTTCTGTGATGATGGACATGTCCTGTATCTGCAGTGGCCCACAGAGCAGCCAGCAGCCACATGTGACTGAGCCCCTGAAATGTGACTGGTGTGACCAAGGAATGGATTTTTCATTTTACCTAAATTTAATTAATACACATTTTAAAAGACACATGTCTAATGGAGACCAAACTGGATGCTGCAGATATAGACTGTCACACAAAAATGCCACACGTTTAGTGTGCCATTAAAGGCGGTGACTACGGACCTGTTTCATTTCAGACTCATTAAAGAGCATGTTCAGTCATGAGCCAGCAGCCCTCTGCTAAAAGTACAAGGCCAAGTAACTTTACAGTCACAGACATTTGAACAACTCTTTTTTCTCCCAAGTTAAGCAAATTGGCAAAGTACTCCCATTGCTGTTAGTCTTGTGCCCTACAGAGAATGTGTTAATTTATACACAAAAGAGAAAAGATGCGGCTGGTTATAACAAACATGGAAAAAAGAAAGGTAGCTAAGGTAAACCAGCTCAGAGGTCACTGAAAATAAAACACCATAAATGCAATGAAGGTGTTACGGTCAATTAAATTTTTTAAGTGTATTTACTACCCCAAACTCACTAACCTTTGGCTACTAATATTTAACTTTCGTCAGAAAGATATTATATATTTAAGAATAGCAAAGTTCTCCTAAGAATGCAGAGAGGGGACATTTCACTGAGAGACCAAAGAACGTGTCTTCAGAATGCAGTCTATAAACCTAACATAGAGGTAAAACTTAAGAGGATTTCCGTAAAAACATCACACAAACTGAGAAAAGGTCTGATTCTATAGAAACAACAGAACCCAGTACATAACACTAATTTTAAAAACCATCAATCTATTCAATCTCTGACAATTTGATCAGAGAGTAAATATGTGTTAAACATTTTATACTGCACATTAAAAATGAACTAGGAAACCAAATTTAAACCATTTAGGTAAAATAAAATACTTAATTTAAGCAAACTCTCCTTCCTTTCTCAGCAGTAAATCTGAAACTACTTCCATTGTTACATGTGCTTAGTTACCCAGGTAACAAAATCTAGAAGATTTAGAAACTAGGTATTTTAAAAAGTAAACTTCTTGCTATAATCAACTGCACTATGAGAAACATTAAAAAAAAGAGAGAGAATTTGAGGCCAGTTCTATATAATACTCTAACTCTCTACTAGAGCATTCACATGACATGATCTAACTCTCTAAATGATCTAACTCTCTACTAGAGCATCACAAAACATGATCTTTCTGGTAATTTTATTTTTTTAAAAGCCACATGTGGCTTTTCTTCCGTATTAGATTGAGAAAGCTCACTTTCGAGTCACTTAACTCCCATGCCTGAAGTTCAGTCTCGTTAATGGTAATACATATCAGAGTCAAAAAGGATAAGGTAATTAAGGAGTCTGAACGTATCACCTTGAAACATTTTTTTTTTCTTACCTCCTCCTTAATATTAAATCGTGATGGTTCTTGTCTGCTTCGGTTTGACCGCCTAACCCCATAAACATCAGGATATTCTTCCCACATCTGTAAAATTAATAGACCACGCGTGAATCGTTTTTTCTTGACCCCCATTTACTATTTACATTACTGGAATACGTATTTCAATTTAAGAGAATTCAATTAGTTATTTGGTTATATATCAAAAGGGGTTTTTTGTTAGCTTTGTTTATGAGACAGTGAAGGACCATCTTTAAAAAGAATAAGGCGTATTATCCGAGAACTCATTAAAGTTGTAACGATGCCTCTTCATTACTAAATAGCTTTAAACTAGAGGTCACACTGCTTACCCATTGTTAAAATATAAACTTACAGTTGAATAATAGGGCAACATAAGAGAACAACTGCTTCCACTAAAGACAAAATATTTACTGATGAATTTTAAGTCCCTAATGCTTTCAGTTTTAGCTTTGACTGCACAAGACTCATCTGAGAAACTCAAAAAAATCAGCAGGGCCCCACCACCAACTCTCATTAAATAAGAATCAGTGCATTTGCATATTTTTTTAATTCCTCAGGATGTGTAACATGCCAGATACAGGCAAATTCGGTATTTCTTATGTTTAGCTAGAAGTTCTCAGAATGAGACCCAGTGGCACCCTTGCTCTAGCACACTTCATTTTATTCTCTAACAGTAGTTAACCCTTTGCCTTTAAGACCTGATTTTTAGTAAGGATCCTCACTAGTGATCAAACAAAGTTTAAAGAGGAATCAGTTGAAGAGAACATTTTTTTCACAATATACTGACACTATTTTATTAAAAGACTCAAATCAATAAATATAAAAAATTATAAAAGGCCCCCCTTCTTCCACCTCTAACAATTAGTCTAACCCCTAGCCTCACTCTCCTTCCCACAGATAGCTATTAACAGGTATGTTGTGTGTTCTTTTAATGAAATCGATCACCTACAGGCAAAATGAATTTAAACGGATTGTGGAACAATGAAGTGAAGATGCTCAACAGGAGGTAAACACATAGAAGAGATGCTTGAAAAAGCCAAGATTAGAAATGTGGGTTTGTCATCGAAACACGGGTGACAGCTAACGTCATGAAAATATTTGGAGTGAAGCAAGAGGAGAAGCCACAGGTTGAGGCTCATCGTGAAATGTGTGGAAAGTGGACCCCCAAAAAGACAAAAATGATGAAAGACGATCCAAAAACACATAATGTCACTAAGCCAAGGAAGGACATAATCAACAGTGCCTTTAAAAAAAAAAAAAAAAAAAAAAAAAAGCCAAGTAAGCTGAAGAAAAACAAGGCCTCCAAAGGTAACAAGCATGATGTTCTAGGAAGAGGCATTTTAGAACCAGAAGCCATATAATCATGTAATCCAGCATCCTCAGTTTATAAATTCAGTTTATAAAAGTAGAAAATCCTTAACAACCTTAGAATAATATGAGTTGGAGGACAAAAGGCCCAACCAGGAGTCAGTAATAACCAAGCAGAAAGAAATCTAGGCAAAAGAGGCAGCACATGCCAAACACTCTGAACAAATGGGGCAGAGAAAGGAAGGCAGCAAAGAGCTTTGCTCTAGCGCTGCCTGCCAACCCCTCCCCCATCCTTTCTTGGACCTCTCCTAGAGCTATGAAATGACTCAGCACAGGTATTTATGGAGCTTTTATTAACTGGGTGGCTCAATGCTTTAAATGGCACTACATCAATTAGTTTTCCCATTTAAAAAGATAGGCATTCTGGCTCACCTGTTGGGACTTTATCACAGTATATACTGTAATACATACATCCTAAAATCATCTTGTGTTCCTGTTTGTCCTTTTGACGGCTAATGATATCTAATTCAACTATTCAATAAAACGCTACCATGTGAAAGGGAAGTGTGTACAGAAAACAAAGAGCTTTCTTTAGAAGCTCATTTTAGAATAATAATTTTTAAAGTCACAATCCAGTCATTCTAACTGGCTAGTACATTCATCTATGTATTTATTAACTTTCTGGAACTTATCACCTTAACTTTAATATTTCTGCCTAAAGCTGTACTTCTATCTTAAAACTCAGTCTTATTCCCCTTTATCTCTTTAAAGGGAGTTTCATATATATATATATATATGTATATGGTCTTACAGTTAAACTGTGAATTCCAGACAGTGAGCATGATTTCAGCGAAGTTTTAAACACCTGACGCAGGTCGTGTTTTCTATGGCTTCTTTTACTCTCTGCAAGTAAAGAACTCTCCCCTGTACAGAAGAAAGTTAAAAGGTGGCCAAGCAAGACCTTCTGCAGGTAAATTTCTGAGCTGAATGACACTCAGAGAAGATCTCTAAGTGGTACTTCGACATTCAGGGTCTTTCTGAAATAGGTCACCACCTGAAATGTCTCTTGTGAAAGGTCACCACACACTGAGCAGACAACAAAGCACAACACTTGAGTGTTAGAAGGTCACTTCTCTGGTGATGAGTTAATTAGCAAGGACAGCTTTCATTTTCCTATCCCTAACACTACTATCAGCATTCCCCAACCTCCCACCAGCTCTTAAGGGTCACTTACCATTAAGCAATGACTACGCTGGGAATAGAAGAAATGAAATAACACAGTTAATCCCAATTCTGTTTCAAGAGATAAAAGCAGTTTTTGTTTTTTAATTTCAGGATTGTTGAAGCTATTCTGTAAAACTTGCAGGTAACTTTAAATTGTTTGTATCGCTACAAAAATCTTTGTGTGCAGATGTAGGTTTGTATTTTAGAAGAAAAACTGATTTAGCATAAAGCTTTTAGTTTCTTTAAGACATTTTACTTCTAAATTTCTAAAAGCAATCTTTTTTATATTTTCAGTGATTCTAACTTAATTCTCTCAAAAGGGAATTTTAAAACATCAGCTGCATTTCTCACGACTAACTAGACCAAGTCATTAATTCTTCCCCAAAAGGGATGCATCCCAAAGTTTGGACATCAATGAAAAAATGCTATGCAACTCAATTTTTGCCTTTTTGCGTCCTCTGCTGGAAGATTCTCGTTAAGCAAATACCTACATTGCCTAGGTACAGATAATTTCTTTTCTGTGAGGAGTATTTCTCCTTCCATTCTTCAATAGAACAAAAACTACCCTTATTCTTGAATTGGGATTATCCATCACACTACAACTGCATTCCACAATCATCTGTGAATGACTTTCTCTGGTATAATTCAGTGCTGTATTAAAAAATACATATTTTAACCACCTTTTTTAAATGTTAAAAACCAAAATAACAAAAATTGGTCTTTCTGCCCTATAATTTGATGGTTTATGTAATTATCTTCCTTATAGCCCTGTGTCTAACGAGTAGAGCAGAAAGCACTCCCCATTTAGACCCACAGACAGCATATTATTAGAAAAGGTGGCTGTAGATGAGTTTTCATTATCAAGATACACTAAGGAGTTTTCCATGGGAAACAAAGGTCTGTCAGCTGGTCCTAGCTGACAGCACGTTTGTACTGTACAGCAAAGCCGATACCTTCTTCACATCAGCTATCCGTTCCTTCTTAGAGGCTGGCTTCTCTTTGGCTTCTGGAAGAACTGGCTGGGATTTGGAACCTCCCGATTCACTTTCAGATTCTGACTGACTCTCCGAAGATTCAGAACTACTGTTTGACTCGCTGCCATGTCCACTTCCTGGATCGCTGCCCTGCTCACTCTCCGACTGGCTGCCTGAGTCTGAACCCGAAGCTTCTTCAGATGCTGAATGACTTAAAAAAAAAAAAAAAAAAAAATTTAAATATTTAAGAACTGCCACATAAATCTGTTTTAAAATAGAAATCCTAGTGTTAATATGACAGCAGATAGTAATTTGGTAATACAAGATCAAAATCTTCTAATTCACTTTTATAGTCTTATTTGCAAACAATGTCATTAGTCCCATTCTCAACATCCCTAATAGCTACCACTTTCTGAGTAGGTACATGATGCCATATGCCACCTAATTTATATAGATTAGCTTTTTTAAAAAAAAATTAAAAGGGGGATATTATTTTGTCCTTCATTCAGATGAGGAAAAACTGAAGCTCAGAAGTAGTTAAATAACTCTCCCAAGATGACACAGGTAGGATTTGAAACCAGGTCCCTCTGCCTGAAATCCACTAAGTCTTATTTGTTCATCATCAGTCCCTCCCTCCTTAAGAGACAAAACCAAACCAAAATGAAACGAACGAACAAACAAACAGAAAAGCAACCAATGCAGAACAAAACAAAACCAAGGCAGAGTCACCCAAAGAATAAAAATGCAATCTGGTTGCAATTATCCAATCAGTGGTTCTCAAAAATAGGTGCAAATGAAAACATACACATGAACCCCAAACCAGAACTCCTGCCTTGAAATCTCCTGCAGTGAGTCCCAGACCTGGTAAACTTAACAGAAAAGAATAAACAAAGAGCCTAACCCAATGAAGACTGCCATTGGCTTCCACACACCCCCACCCCTTCCTCATTCCAAACCCCTCCCAGGAAAGAGCAATGGTAAGTAGGTAGATGAAAGCAGAAGCCGCGCGCGCGCGCGCGCGGCCAGGGAAGACTGAAGGCAATATACCACCCTCTGTTCTCCAATAGTTAAAAAGTAATTCATGGGCATGCGGGTAGGAGTGAGGATACTCTAAAGCAAAAAGACTAAAGTTGATGGACTCTACAGGAAAAAAGTGTACAGCTCACTCAACTCTTCCGCTTAAAAACTATCTTTTCATTTAGGAGAGGCAGAGCAGAGGAGGAGGCAAGCAGCAACCCACAACCTAGAGTAACATCAGCAGAAAGGACACCGAGTTTAGCAACCAGGAGATAAAAGACACACGGCACGAAGCCGGAAAGGCTCAAAAAAAAAAAAAAGAGAGAGAGAGAGGCTTTGTATTTTTGTTATTCACCACCACTCCCTTCCAAACTAGAAATGAGGCACTATCACTTGACAAACATGTCCACATAATGAACAGGAGAGTACACTGGGAATGTCCAGTGTGATCCACAGCAAGCACAATGCAGTTGAGGGGACTTTAGTAAAGATGAGAAAGCAGTGAGAATAAATGGAGGGGGAGGGCGTCTACCTTGGAAGGGGAAGACCATTTATTAATTGCCTATCATCTAAACAGGTGCCAGGCAATACGCTGAGTACGTTACATGTTCACTTTTCTTATTTCCCACAACAACGCTTTTAGACACTATTATTCCCACGTGAAGGATGAAAAAATTGAGAAGTTTTAAATAACCTGGTCAATGACAAAACTAGAAAGTGCTGGGGGAGTCGGGGAGGGGAGCAGGAATTCCACCTCAAGTGTGGCTCTAAAAAGCTCATATTCTATTTTACCACAAGAGTTCAAAGCCTTAAAGACTCAGAAAATAAACCTTATCCCTGTTACACAACATCCAAAACCAGTCAGGCATCCCTGTAACAGCGACTGAGTACCTACAAGGCCTCATTATACTTAACTGACTCCTTGGTCCTTTGCACAGGAAAGCTGACTAGTCCAGCTGACTAAGGCATCTTAAGTCACTTATTCTCCACCTGTGACCACTCAGAAGGTGGTCACCAGGCAAGAGGATAAAAGAGGAAGTACAGTTAAAAGGTGTAGGCTCTGGCCTCCATGGCTTGGGTCTCCGTCCTAGATCATCTCAGGCCTGTGCCCTCTTTTAACCTGTGACATAAATCATTGCAAATATGATGTAAACATGCAATGCCAACTCCCACATCAGGGCATATGTGTGTATACGAATATCTCATTCTCTTTGAACTGCCTCATAGGATGAATACACTACATTTATTTAAACTGCCCCCTTATTAACGGAACATTTAGGCTATTTTTAAACTGTTCTCTTAACCAACCAGCAACAAATATCCGTGATACACTTCCATATCTCTGTATTTCTGAGTATTTAGATTTCCAAATTGTTCACTATAACCAATAAAACTATAATATCTTTGTATATATGCCTTCATGTGCAGCTCTGTATTTGTGTTTGTGTAGGAAAGTGACCTCTGGAAACATAAAAATACATATAACACCTTTTAGGTAATAAACACATCTATGTCTATGTGCATAAATACGTTTTAATCACCAAATTGCTAACAGTGGTTTACTCTGTGAGATGGGTTATTTGAGTACCTAGTGGATTCCATGAACTACTTACTGGTGCAATTAAAAATAAAAAAATTAGTAACTCTGAAAGTCAAACCCAAGAAAAGATAAACATCAAGTTTACAATTGTATTTACCTCTGGGGGTTGAGGGAGGTAGATGTAATCAGAAAATGATATTGGTGGGGGACTTCCCTGGTCGTCCAGTGGTAAAGAATCCACCTTCCAATGCAGGGGACGCGGGTTTGATCCCTGGTCCGTGGGAACTAAGATCCCACATGCCACAGGGCAACTAAGCGCGTGCCGCAAACTACAGAGCCCACGCGCCACAACTAGAGAGAGAAAATCCGCACGCCACACTAGAGAGAAGCCCGCGCACAAGGAAGAGCCTGCGCCGCAACGAATAAAGATCCTGCACGCCTCAACTAAGAGCTGACGCAGACCAAAGGAAAAAAAAAAATGATATTGGTGGGTTTTATGACTGAGGCTGAGTGGTTGAGTTCATAGTCATTTGTTATGTAAGTATTAATCTTTTTAATGTTTCAAATGGTTCATAAAAAATCCAACCAAACGAGTCAAATTCAAGGCAAGGGACGTTAAGTATCCCCAATCCTATACAAAATGAGCTAAAGATATGAATGAGGGTGAGACCAAGTGTTGTTTTTCTTTTTCCCATCATTTCTAAAACAATTCAGATTTAAGAGACCTAAAATAATATTCGGGGGAAAAAAAGTTTTTAAAAATAAGCCTTAATAAAGACATAAATGAATTAATTTGCATACTTCTAGGAGGACAAGTTTCTAAATGTTGAAAGAGAAAAAGAATATTTAGGAAAAAACTATAAATACCTTCACATTTAAGGCACTGACGGTCTAATTATTCATTCCAAAGACAGGATATTTCCTGAAATATTATGCAGATTCACTATTAATGCTGAATGATAATAATAAATACTATCAATATTAAGTTGTACTTTGTAATGTTGATTTAGAGTAGGAGATGTGGGATGTCCACAGGACTGAAAAAAGGGACAAATCAAGTTAGTGGGTGAGTAGTCCTTTAGCTAAGCTTTCACCTAAAGTAATAAAATTACCTGATTTCCAATGGCATTAACAGTTATAAGGCAATTAAAAATGGAATTTCCAGGAATGATTAACCACCATAAATACAGAATCCTCATGAAAAATAAGTTTACCTAAAAATTACTCAAAACCTAAGTTGCAAACAAGTTTTATAATTTCTGATTGAACAATCATCACAAGGGAAATACAATGCAAAAATAAAAGGGGCAAGTCAAAATTGGGAGTTTTTCAATTCCAATAGAAAAATGCTTATTTAAAAAAAAGCTTACTTCTTTTCACTCACTGATAAAAAAGATTTGACATCTGTTCAAAATCCTTTTTGAAGCTGGCAAAAATGGAGTGATTAAGTGTCTCTTACAACTGGACTCTGAAAGTAAGCAGCATTAATAGCTATTGTTCCATTTTTAATTTTTAATCACCGCTTCCCAGATAACCACAAGAGGGCAGCACAGCAACACTTCGCTACAGAGCAAGCCTGCGGGTTCTCGGCCCAAGAGCTGCCATTTCAGCACTTACTGGGTACTGTTTATTTTCCTAAACTTACAAAATGGCTGAACTGCTTGGCAGAGCTGTATTTTTTTTTGTTTTGTTGGTGGTGGTGAAAGCAAAATCTGGTAAAAACGCAAAGCCATCTACACTGGAATTCCATAAAGTTTATCTCCAGACTATGTTCTATCAATATTAAAATAGCTAACATTTGTGGAGCACTTCTGTGCCATTTGCAAACATTCCCCTCTAATCCTTCTCTTCATTTTACATAAGAGGCCTAGCCCAAGTGTGTGTATGTCACCCCCCAGCCCCACAGCCTGAATTATGAAATCCACACTACTATTAACCTCTAAGTGGTGTTGCTGTCCCTGTCATAATCAGTTAAACATTATTAAACCACCCAACAAGAGATTAAGGCCAGAATCATTCCAAGGGTGGTGCAGGACAAGTCACTTCTATGTGTCATAAGAGGATAGAAAGGCAAAGATTAAGTCACGAGTTTCTTACTGATGAAAAAAATACTGGATGTAGCTCCTTAAATAAATTGAATAGTATCTTTAAGATCTCCTCCACCTCTAGTTCAGGTCCTATGATTCTTAAGAATAAGCTACATTATAAACCAGTTTCAACGACAAGTAAGAGACTGAGAAAAGAAATGTATACACAATGTATACACAACAAAGGATTTATACATACAACATATGAAGAATTACATAGCAAAGAAAAATCCAATAAAAAACTGGGCAAAGGAAATGGACAATTACAAAACCCAAACTGCAATAGTCCATAAACATATAAAAAGGTAATTAAACCTCACTGGTAATTTGGAAGTGTATTTATAATATATGATTTTACATTAATCTGCTTGGCAGAAATTAAAGTCTGGTTAACATTAAAGTATGATGAGAAATTAGGGAAAATAGTACTCATACACCATTACTGAAAAAGTAATCAGTAGAAGCTTTGGAAAGCTATTTGGCATATTACCCTAGAAATATGCATGAATCGTGTGAGTTAATCAGTGGGTATATCACCTAAACAAATTATCAAATGTGTGCAGGAGA